AAATCGAGGTTGTCCTCTGATTGTGATTTCGAACCATTCTAGGAACTGATCGAACGGGAAGAACGCAAGAGGAGAGAGAAGGAGAAGGAAGAAAAGCTGGAGCAGGAAAGAGAGAGGGAACGACTTGAGGAGGAAGCCGAACAAGAGCGATTGCGGAAGGAGAAAGAAGAACGCGAGAAGCGCGAACTGGAGGAATACTTAGCGGTAGGCAGGAACCTTTTTCGTTGCATTTCATATTGATATCGAAAGATTCTTTTCATATTCTTACATATTTTGACAGAGGAAAGAATGGGCGAAGTAGTGCTATTTTTGAATCCCAAAATCTAAGCTTTACAATTCTGGTCTCATATTGTGGAGCTTGATGAAAATTTTGTTTGCTTCGCGAATGTCTAGAATCAAACATCCATCCGCGTAAGAGAAGTAGCACATAAGAGGGTTTTTCCATCACATCTGATTGTGTTGTAAAATAGCTATAGAGTTATGGAAAACGAATGAGTTCCACTCACTAACATTTTTTCCAGTTGAAAGAATCCTTCGCCGTCGAAGAAGAAGGTTTTGATCAACTTGAAGAAGAGGAGTCTGCCAATTTGATGAAGGAATTTTCTGACTATGTCAAGAAGAGCAAGGTACATCACATTCAAGAAGTATCTGATACTGTATGGAACATTCAAAAATATTAAGGTTGTGAATATGGACGAGTTGGCTGCTCATTTTGGCTTGAAATCGGATGAGGCCATCTCACGGTTGCAGTATTTCCTTGACAATGGCCTTCTTGAAGGTGTTATGGATGATCGCGGGAAGTTCATATGCATAACAGAGGATGAATTAAATGCTGGTAAGGGTTTCTTCAGAATTTTCCAGAAAACATGATCAGTTCTGAGTTGTTGTTTGTTGCAGTTGCCAAGTTCATAAACCAAAGGGGCAGAGTCACAATACATGAGCTGGCCGAATACAGCAACAAACTCATTCGTTTGGAAGGAGAAACATAGTAGAGTTGGGTATCTTTACGGTTTATTGTAATTATTGGTCCTGTTCTATCCTGTTCTTGCTTCATTCTGTGATTCTCTTCTTTGATGAGCATATACAAAGTATTTATTTTCTAATACAAAGTTGAGTTTACCCGGAAATAGGAAAAAGTTAGAGGAAAATCACCATCTTGGTAGTTTTGCAGAACTTCTCCATAGTAAATTTAATGATGTAATAAACTGTATGTAAGACGGAATTTAGCTTTAAAGCCAATGAACATACGTATAATGTAGCAATGAGACCATTTAATTACAATCTGCATGGGATATTGCGCTAATAATGCGTACCGTGGGTCACTGTCATTGTTTCCGGAACGCAGAATTACATTTCAAGAGACTGAGAGCTATCTCTCGCGCTTGACGGCGCGCCGGTATCTCCTTGTGACGCCATTTCTTCTTCTTGCATGATGCGAAGACATGTTCCTTGTCCAAATCGCGCATCCATGAGGATTTTTTGTATGTGCATTTTTGCAATAGCTTTCTGAAAAAAAA